ATCACGCAGGCAAAAAGCCCTGGCTGAGCTTGCAGCGTGAACGGGGCAGCGCGTAAGAATGAAACTCCCTGCACCCCGCAGACTGATGCTGAGCCACAGAAATTTTTTTTTCATTTTGTGAATTTCAAATGTACAGGCTGGGAAATGCGTGTCAGGTCGTCAGGGGAGGGGAGGTCAGAGCCACGCGGGAGGACGGCGGTGCAGGAAGCAGTGGCAAGGAAGGGTGTGGGCACCACCAAGGGGGCTTGGGGGCTGCAGGTCGCAGAAAACAGCAGCCGCGTATGCTCCCTGAAGAGCAGAAGGGCATCTCCAGGTGCAGAATGAAGGGTGTCCGCGAGCTGGACCCAGGTTAGGCAGGGCTGGGTCAGGCAACAGCTGGGCCCACAGGAACGTGAAGAGAACAGAGAACGTGCAGGAAGAGGGAGTGTCTGGCGTCAGCAGGTCTCAGAAAGCACCGGCCAGAACAGGGAAGGTTCCCTCCTGGACCTTGCTGGAGGGGCAGAGGAGGGCTGGTTGAACGGAGAATCCCGCCAAGGCGCCGCGTTTGAAGAGTGAAGTCAGTTCACTTGGCAGGAGAAGGGGGAGCCTTTGAATTCCCTGTGGAGACCAGTGTAGTGAGACCCTTTCCCCGCCTGCTGCAAATAGCTGGTCCAGGAAAGTTCAACTCATTTAGTTATGTTTAACAAAAAGACGGATCTGGCATAACATCAAAATAAAGATGCCATGAGGAAAAATAGAGGAAAGAGAAGCAATTTTTACCACGAGATAAAGAATACTCAGTAGAAAAAACATCAGATATTCTACTATGAACTTTTTAAAAAAAATACTTACATGATCAGCACTAAGATGGAAACCACAGAGCTGAAACGCAAGGGTTTAGGAAAGAGAAATAACAAAAGTGCGGAGGGAATGAGGCATGAGCAGGAGCCATTCAGGAAAAAATAAAACCACACAGAGGCAGATATGTAACCGATGAGCACGGCCACCATAGACAGCGGAAGACACGTCAGAGATGGGAGAAGCAGAAGTGAGAAAATTTAGAATCAATGAGTTTTTAAGTTGTAGAGAGTGGTAACCTACAGTCAAAGCAAAGCAGATACAACAGGTGTATCATGGGAGGCTTCGATGGGGGAAGCCAGAGCGACGGAGCAGAATAAATGCGGTAAAACTTTCCTGTAATGTCCTGCAGTGATGCAAACGTCCTGTCCTGAGGTAGGCAGTGGGCGCCTGTCTCCTGTCCTCACGTGGGCGTGGGCGAAGGGGGGATGGAGGGACGGGAAGAAGGTGGCGAGGGGAACCTGGGGCCAGAGCACGGTGTCCACGTTCCTAGCGTTCTCCCGGCCCGGCTTCCCCCGTCAGCCCAGTGCGACGGCTGCCAGCTGCGCGGGGCGTCCTGGAGTCCCCGCCGCCGCCGTCCAGTTAGCTGCAGGGCCCAGCAGTGGTATTTCTACCAGGCGGCACCAAACCACAGCCGGACTGGCGTTGACTGGCTGGGCTGCCGGGTGACCCCCGAATTCCCAGTCGGGCAGCGCGGCAGCCGCTGCGGTCACTTCGGTGATCTCGCGTTCGTGGGACTGCACGCCTTCCAGCATTGGGTTTGATGGACCCCGCTGTTCCTGGTGTGGTGATGCTTCTCTTTGAAAAAAATAATTCACGAGAAATGTTCTGAAACAAAAGATGACTTCAACCCACACCTTGCAAAGACACACCAGGAACGGGGAAAGTGTCGTGTGTTCGGGGGAAGGTGTTCAACATGAGGCCCACCCAGGAAAGTTACCGTTGACGGAAACGAAAGAATCCTGTAGGCGTCCAGGCAAGAAAAAAAACAGCCAAGTCGCCTCAGAGGGAAGCGGGTAAGAGGCGGCGTCTGACTTTCCGAAGCTGCGCTGAGCTCGCGGTCAGTGGAGCGACATCTACGAGGTAGCAGGGAAGGGAGGAGGAGCCAGGATTGTGTCCAGCCCAGCGGCCCTCCGAGTCGAAAGGCTACAGATAGAGTTTGCGATCTGCCAAGAGCTCGGGGAGCAACGCTGCAACCATTCACGAGACACTACCAGGGGCTGACCCCAGACACCCGAGGGACGACCCAGGGCGACCTTGGTACCAACCCTGGGTGAGCTTCAGGTGTACTTAACTACAGAGGAAAAGGGAAACAGGATAATGATGTCAGAATAGAATTTAAATATGGTATGTTCCAATATCGTATAAAAGACTTATCTAAGTAAAATTGAGAGTCAAGGAGGGAAAGAAGGTGGGAGGTGCAGTGAGGGCTCGGATTGTCGCCTCTCTAGCAGTTGAGATGCTAAATGAATCAGAGAATGTCATTCAAAGCTGACAAATGAAGGAGAACTATTTTTAACACTATAGAAGTAAAAATTGGAAAGGCGTAAAACAGTATTCGCGATGATCTAGAAAATCCAAGAGAATTGATTTAAAAAAAAAAAAAAAAAAAACTACTACAGACAATTAGAGAATTCGGCCTGGCGGCCGGGTGTAAAATTAATCTACGGACATCACTGATCTTCGTAGAAACATCCAGCAGCCTGTGAGAAGCTTTATATACAGCTCAATTTATGATAGCAGCAAAGAGGTGTTAAATGCCTAGAAATAAACATCATAAAAATATTCAATACCCGTTTGAGGAAAAATTTAAAATCCCTTAGACAAAAAAAGAAGAAAACAAGAATAGAGAGTTGCATCACAGTTTCGAATAGGAAAATTTAATGATGCAAAATTGTCATTATGCCCTAAGTTCATTTATAATGTTAACATCCCAGCAAGTCTGCCAAACTGATTCTCGCGTCCTCAGAACTACCTAAGATGGTTTCTAAATGTCTCGTGAAAATATGAGCAGGCAGAGCCCAGGAACTCTGAAGGGTCAGAGCGAAGGGGTTCTGATCTTCCAGGTGTGAAAACACGCCGCACGGCCTCCCGCCGAAAGCGCGGCAGCAGCTCCCAGAGAGGCAGATTTAAGGAACAAAATAGAAGACCCAGAACTAGACCCAAATATATGCGATAATTTAGTATATGACTAAAGTGGCTCCTTCAGTGAAGAGTGGAAAGATGGAATTTTCAACTAATGGCGCTGGCACAAATGGGTAGCCACATGGAAAAAAACGAATCCACACTTCACCCCGTGTACACCAGCATAAACTCCAAGTGGACCAGGAATTTAAGTGTGAAAAGTAAAACTGTAGGTACTAAAATAAAACAAATTACTTTGCAACCTTAGAGTATCTAGCCAGGATTCAAAAATCTAAACACTGCAAAAGAAAAGACTGATAAATTTTACAACATACATATATATTTTTTTAAATCTACGTGGCCACAAAACCGAACAGCCCAGCCTCGTGAAGCCTGACGCCCACCCAGACAGTGTGAGCTGCGCGTGGCAGCTTCCTCCCAGAGAGAGCAGTAAGGGGCGGGGGAGCCACCTCACGGTGGAGAGACTTGGCACACACACCTCAGCCGGTGACCAAGGTCAGCGCCAACGGCCAGGAGCCAGGTTGGTGGCCTGCGCCCTTGACGTGACGTGAGAAGGCCCCTTACCTCTGCTGTCCTCCTCCCCCAAACCACAGCCCTCGTCCACTCAAGAGAGAAAAACACCAGACAGTCCCAGCTGAGGAGCATGCCCCAGACCGCTGACCAGGACTCCTCACACTGTCCAGGTCATCGAAAACAAGGGGGTCTGAGAATCTCTCATAGCCGGGAGCCTAAGGAGTCGTGGCGACTGAATGTCATGCGGGATCCTGAGACAGGCAAAGGACCATAGATAAAAACAAAGGAAATCGAAATAACGTATGCATTTTAGTTAATAATCACATATCAATATTGGTTGTTGAGCTGTGACTACTGGACCATGGTTAACAACAGAACTGGGTGAATTAGTCTTGCGACTTCCCTGTAAATCTGCAACTTCTAAAATACATAAGCCAGCCCTGTAAGTCCAAAGATAAAAACATAAACTGGGAAAATGTACTTGCAAGTCAGACCACCGTCAGCGAAATGGGGTTAATTCAGCACGTGTTCATCGAGCACCTGCTCCACGTCAGGCACCACGGTGGGCAGTGGGACAGTCATCTTACGGTGTGGTGGCCGCAGAACTCGTGGCAGGTTCTCTTTCAAGGCCTGCAGGAGAGTCCCACTCGGTCACCTGCAAGGGTCATATTTAACATACTGTATCTCAGGAGTGGCCCTGTCACCTCTGCTGTGTAATGGAACCTGATCCCGTGGCATTCTCTGGCCTGCCCCTATCCAAGGGGAGGGGATCATGGGGCGGTCACCAAGCAGGGGGTCTCGGGCCCATCGTGGAATTCTGCCTCCCAGCACAATGGACAAATGGACAAAACCATAGTGAGCTCTGTACACCGTACAGTAGCACGATCTTCCTAAGCGCTGTCTCATCTAGGTGTACGTCCATAAGTGGTGAAAATACGTGCGTGTGTATAAAAATCCAAGGCAACGGTAATTATGACTCTCCAGAGAAGGTTGCCGTGGGGAAGAGGGAAAAAGGAACAGGATGAGGCAGGAACGAAAAGATGCACAACTTGCTGGTCACGTTTCAGGTTTTGAGTTCGTGAGTGGGTTCGTGGGTGACCGATTTATTATTAAATAAACAAAAGCGAGCCAGGAAAGGCCTGATGATGTGAATGTGTTATGAACCAGCGATTGTGATTGACCCAACTGTGTGCCCATTAGGTCTTTAAAGTATGTTTGAAAAGTGTATTTATCCAGCGTTTCCGAGGAGCCCTCTAAATGGAGCTAGGGGCGGTCTCTGACTGGGGATACGAACCCCTGGTGTTTCTTAGACGGTGACTTGGCCTCTGGAGTTGGGGGCCTTAGCGTTTGGGTCACCCATGAGGTCTAGCCCTCCACCTGCCACGGGAATATCTGTTGAGTACACGCATGAGTGAACATTGAAGGCTGTGTTAACACTTCTGTTTCCTTCCCTCAGAAAATCGCCTTCATGGTAGCGCTAGGCCTGGTTACAACAGAACACTTGGAAGGTAAGGATCCGGCGCGCCAGGCGGGGCTGGGGCTGACCCAGAGGACGGGTGTGGGGCTTCGGCAGCACATAGCAGTCCTTGGGGATACAGCATGGTGCCACACGGCTGCAGGGGGTCTCAGGATGTCCCCGCGTCAGATGGCAGCATCCAGGTGCAAACCACCTCTGGGAGTCTCCCGCAAGTGCCAGGGGTTGGTTGGTTGTCATCAAAGATAAACAAGACAGAGAAACCTACCATCCCCTCCCTGGCTCCGCGACTGCACAGAACACATCATGACACTTTTGTTTCAGTGGAGGAACCCTGTGGGTTCCCCGTCCTCACACTGGAGGCAGCTCAGTGAAGTGACAAGAGGCAGACTGCCCACTTTGGCCATTTACTAACTACTCAAGCGTGGGCAAATTACTTAATTTCTGTGGGCCTTGGGTTCTTAATCTGTGGAATGGGATAATAACTGAACCTTCCTCGCGGGCTTGTTGTGAAGCACCCAGAGCAGGGCCCGGCCCCCAGCTGAGCACAGCATGAGTGTGATGAGCTGCCACCTCCCCGACCGTCAGGCTGGCCTGCGGACTTGACGTCTGCCACCGGACTTGACATCTGCCACCAGACGTGGCAAAGTCAGAGCGTTAGTTACGCGAGCAGAAGGGCCAGCGTGACTCTGTGGAGGTGCCGTTTGGCGTTGCTGATGAGGGCGACTGCAGATGAGCCCAAAACTTCACAGAATGGCAAGAGCAATTGCAAGTGAGCCGTGAACATCACGCAGACGCTCAGGGCCCAGAAAGCACTTGAAACCAGATCCCTCGTTGCACATGTGGGGAGCTGAGGCCAGAGCAGTCAATTCACTGGCCCAGGGTCACACAGCCAGTCGCTGTCAGGCCCAGGCTGGGATCCAGGACTCTGGCTCCCACCACACCCACTTCACCTGCTAGAGATGGTCTACAAAGTGAAGACCCCAGTGAGTCTGGATGTGGGAAGGTAGACTAATTTTCATTTCCTCCTTAAAAGCAAGGGAAGGAAGGGAATGAACTGAACACCCACAGTGCCCAAGGCACTAGCAGTCTTTGAGATAGAGGTTCTCTCCAGTGGGACAGGTGAGTGACTGAACTGAAGCCCAGGGACAGGAAGGGACCCGGCGAGGGCACACGTGTCAGGGCCAGGCTGGAGAAGAGGGAGCCCAGCACGCCCTGTGGCGGGAGCCTTCTCGCTTCTTGTCTCCTGGTCCCACTTGCTCCCTGGCAGCAGCCGGGGCACAGCCGTGGGTGGGGCGGGACAGGAGGAGGCCCAGCCTGCCAGCACTGGGGTGGGCAGGGAAGCCCCACGGAGCAGCCCTTGCCCCGGCCCCCCTTGCTTCTCTGCGGGCAGGTGGAGTGTTCTCTGAGCTTTCGACAAAAGGAATCCACCGTCCTCAGCCTGTCTCGGAGGGCCGTGTGAGCTCTGACTTTGGATCCACGGAGGCAGCGTGGGGTGCTGGGAGCAAAAATCTCATGTTCACGTCTGGCTCGTGCTATACCTGTTGGGTGGCTGTGGGCAAATCCTTCCCCCTCTCCAAGCTTAGTTTCTTCATCTACAGCAGAAGGAAAACTGCACCCTTAAACTGTGCAGGTCGCGGTGGGGAGTAAGAGAAAAGTGCTTTCCTGGTGTCATTGTTGTTGCAATAAATAGCGCTCACTGGGAGAACCTCTCCCCATCCCCCAGCCCTGATACCCCAAATATTTATTTATTTGGACCCTGTCTTCCACCGAGGGTCTGAGGTGCCTCACAGGAAACACTGAGTGATGTCGAAAAGGTTTAAAAAGCAAAACAGGTCCACACAATGGAGATTAGAAAGGGACCCCAATGGCAGTGCACAGAGAGGCAGGTCGCAGGTCCCGCCCGGCAGGCAAAGCGAAACGAGAAGGAAGGAAGGAAAACGCCGCGTTTGGAGGCTGCCTGGGAGCAGATGCGCCTGCTCTGGGGAGCTGGGGCCTCACGCCGCCGCGCAGCCAGGACAGCGTCTGACCAGGGGGCATCTGCTGTCCCAAGACACGGCCGTGAGCCAGATGATGACACACAAGGGGGACCCCGTGCTGAGAGTGGGTCCCTGGATTCTGGGCATCTGCCATCCTCCCCGAATCCATCGTTCAGCCCAAGGTCACCAGGCCACCCTGTCACGGAGTGAGTGACTCCTGGAGGCCCCGGGCCACTCTGTGGCACAGATGCTGGACAGACAGGCTTTGGAGCAGGAGGGGATGGTGGTGCCGGGGCCTGGCGAGGAAGCAGGTGGGGTTTCCAGCACGGGAAGGGTCCAGTAACCGCTGTGTCTGTGTCTTTCTAGAAATACAGAGCAAGCGACAGGAGCGGAAGAGAAGAAGCACAGCCAACCCTGCCTACAGCGGCCTCCTGGAGACCGAGGTGGGGACCCACCAGCCCGTGCCACCG